CAGTCCAAAACAAACAATTTCTGAGGCCAACTCTTCAGACAGGGATTGGACTGGACTGTGGGACATAAAGTGATACTTGTGAGGAGTGTGCCTCTTAGCTTAAGTAGATACAAGAGACTTTCTGTCCAGAGGTGAGATGGGAAGGCAGAGAGGGTTAGGAACTGGTTGAATGGACATGAGGAATCAGGGGTGGAAAGGAGGAGTACGGGGAGAGTAATTAGGGTCACATAACAATGTACGTATAAATTTTTGTACGGGAGACTAACTCGAAATGTAAACTTCATTTAAACTACAACAATAAAAAAAAAAAAAAAGTAAGGGGCTAGCAGTGTCTCTGGCACGGCCCTGTCTTGTTCGTCATCACTATGCATCATAATTGTTATTATTATTATTGAAAGACACTGACACCACGAGAGACTGCCCAAACCCAGCACTCCATTCTTTTCTTTTGCGCCCACCTTCATCTTCATTCTCTGCCTGGTTTTGCCCCCATGAACTCCTCCGATGCATGAAAAAGGCCTCTAACGGCTTTGTAAATCCTACCCATTTCGACTACAGTGTTTTGTACATGGCATCTGCTAAATACAGGCTTATTAGGCAATTTTTCAAAAAGCGTAAGACAGTCCCTGGGCAGTGCAAATGGTTAACACACTTGGCTGCTAAACAAAAGGTTAGCAGTTCTAGTCTACCCTGAGGCACCTTGGAAGAAAGGTCTGGCAATCTATCAGAGGCCTCCCAGTGAGGGAGGGTTAGAGGGGGCATTTTCCCCTGGGCACAGATAAGGCTAGCCAGAGAATTACCCCCGTCTTCCTGTTGATGGGGGCGGGAGAGCAAACTTAGAGATTGCCCCTGGGTGCTCATTTCATTACCCTCGCTCCTCCCCTATGATCTATCTCTGAGAAATCAGCCAATGAAAACCCTGTAGAGCACAGTTCTACTCTGACATACATGGGGTCAGCATGAGCTGGAGTTGATGGCAACTTTTTTTTTTTTTAACATTGTCATAATAATACTATTATTATTTTTACCATTATACCTATCCAGCATTTTAAGTTCTCCAAAAGAGCTCTGACACGGGGTTTTACTCCTTAGAACTCTGACATGGGGTTTTACTCCTTTGTTCAGCCGGTACTCATGGAGCTCCTGCTCCATCCTGGGCCCTGGCCGGCCCTGGCTGCTGATGGGATCACGCAGCGTCAGCGTCCGGTTTTATCTGGCTCTTACACTATCCCAGATGTGGGCAGGTGAAGCATCACTCCATGTAATGGGGGAAGGGCAGGGCCTGGGGAGCGTGGCGGCCTCTCAAAGTCTGCCCGCCAAGGGCCGCTGTGGTGAAATGAGTTCCTTTATGTGGCCTTTTGCCTTGGTTCTTTGGAAAAACACCTTGAGAGATTTTCCCCCTAAACCCTGAGGAGTTACCTTCGCCCTAGTTTTCTACCCCAGAGGGCTTGTTACTTTCTTCCAAGTTGATTGACATTTACTGGGCAAACTGTAAACAACCTGGGGTTTGATACTTTTTGTCTGGCCCTGGGCTGCAGCCTGCCTCGTGATTGGTCTCTTTTACGCACCTTACAGAGACTGGTCAAAGTAGTTATGCAAATTAAATGACTACAGCCTAGTATGCAAATGAAGTGTCTGTGGTCTTAACGAGAGGGGATTGGTCAGTTTGTGGTCCTGGTGGGAAGGCCATGTCTTGAAACTGACGAGGAGTTTGCTTATATATGCAGCCACGCTCTCAGAGGTTGGTAGACAGACGCAGAAGGAAGAAAGGAGAGAGAAGCAGAGAGAAAGCAAGGAACCTCTTAAAGAGCTGTAACATGGGTTAAGGGCTGTAACACTGCAGATGGTGAGAGGTCCAGAAGGGGCTCTGCAGCAGAGCTAGTGGTGATGGTAGGAATCAGTTGCTAGGAATGCAGCTGAGATTGCTGAACAAAACTGCTACACAGGCTATGAGCTGGCTCAGTTCGTAGTGGAGAGGCCGGCAGCAAGGAGGCAGGGAGGCCTGTCCTGAGGGGGCTGAGAGGAGGTCTGCATAGTTAGGAGGGTATGTGCATGGTAGGTGCTCAGCAAATAATTTCTGAATAAATGCCCTGCTCTTAGGGACCCGACACTGGGCACCGAAATTACAAACAAGAGGACCATGAGGAGCACGGCCAGATTTCCTCAACTAGGAGGGGCTGCGGAAATCAGAAAGAGGCGCCAGAGGCTGGCAGGGCTGGCTGTAAGCCACTGAGTATCTGATGTGACCCCTTAACAATCACCTAACCTGGAGGATGTGAGTTGCCAGATGTGGGCAGCAGGTGGGTTTTGCTTGGCTTGTACTGTTTAAAATTTTTTTAAAATTAGTTAACAACAATCGGTAGATTTGACACAAAAATCTGAATTTCTGACTTCTGAAAAACAAAAAGATCTAGGAACACTGAGCCTACCTTCCTGCTGGGACTGAAGACCAGCTGCCACTTTTAGACAGGGCACGAGCACTTCTGGTCACCTGGGTGCCCCCAACCCCACAACGACCTTCCCAGAAGCTCTTCAGCTCCCCTGCCCTGCAGGCACTGTGACCTCCCTCATCCAACTCAGGTGAAGGATCTGAGCCCAGATTTGATTGCAGCCACAGATCGTGGCCAATCAGAAGCCGAGCTGGGATCTGACCCTGGGCTGGTAGGCTGCCTGCCTGCCTGTCCTTGCTGGCCCTTGGGGATGAAGGGATTGGGTGTGGCCTGTGGCTTGGGAGGCAGCAGGCCTGATACTCACCGATCCATGGAAAGCTTCTGGGCCAATAGCCGCCAGTCGCTGCCCCGTGAGTTGGGGGCGTCGAGGCTGTTGCATATCTTCTGGCGGATGGAGAGTGGGATCTTGAAGGCGTAGGGCCCCACCTGGGTGGTGGCGGCACCGCTGGGGGCAGAGCAGAGGGCGTCCAGAGAGCCAGCAGCTGTCTGGAAGGGCAGGGGCACGGGTGAGGAGAGGGCTCCCTGGGGAAGGCTCCGGGCAGCTTTCCCTCCATTCCTCCTGCCCTGGGCCCCTGATCTCATTGAGGCTCCGGACCCCTCTCCACCGCCTTCTCCAGGCAGGTTCCAGTGCCCAGTCAAAGGCCTTCTCCCCTGGAGGGTCAGCTCTCAGGGCCAGGGCTGCAGGCTGACTCCCAGCTTCAGGGGGTGCACCAAGAGCACTGCCCTAGGCTAATGCTGGTGCACATCCAGGACAATGAAGCCCGAGGAGCCTCAGCTACAGTCTCACCCACATCAGCCCATTTTACACATGCAGAAAATGGAGTCTAGAAAGAGGATGTGACTTGCCCAAGGCCACATGCCAAGTTAGAGACAGGGCTAGGTCTTGAACCCGTATCCAGTGCTCTTCTCGCTGCACTACAAGGAGGGTGCAGTCCTCGCACCCCAGGCTGCCTCGGGCTGTCAACCTCTATCTGCATTTGTAGTGGCTGAGAGCCACCACCTGGGTTCAAGTGTGGGTTTTGCCACTCACTCACTATGTGATTGTGGACAGATACTTGCCCTCCTCAAAGCCTACTTTCTCATCTCCCAGATGGGGATTGTCATATCCGTCTCCCGGGTGGTTATGTAGACTTAATGGGATAATATATCGCCTGGCACATGCCAGGCGCATGGTTGGCACTAATAAATGGCAAACCAGTTAACCACTGGCTGTCAAGTTGATTCTGATTCATGGTGACCCCATGTGTGTCAGAGTAGGACTGTGCTTCATAGGGTTTTCAGTGGCTGATTTTTTTGGAAGTAGATCACCAGGTGTTTCTTCCAAGGCACCTCTGGGTGAACCTGAGCCTCCTTTTGTTCAGCGGCCGAGTGTATTAACCATTTGCACGACCCAGAGACCAATAAATGGTAGCTGTTAGCAAAAAATGACCAAGTCCCAGCTCAGCTGTGGGAGGGGAGGGGATGTCTTAATGCAGATGGCATTTCCACCCAGATGAGGAGTGGGGGGGGGGGGTTTGTGTACCGCCCCCACCCCCTCCTGTTGGGTCCTCTGGGCCTCACCTCTGCCAGCGTGGTGTGCAGCTGGAATATCTGGCCCTCCCCCTCCACCTGGCGCACGCAGATCTTACAGGTGAGCTCCGTGGAGGCCAGGCTGAGCCGCTCCAGGGTGAAGGTGCAGTGCAGGGCCTTCTGGCCGCTACTCCAGATATGATAGAAAGGGATCTCCTGTGGGGGAGTGGACCAGAGACATGGAGGTGAGGCCAGCCTTCTCACACTCACCCGGCCTGCCCTGCCCTCACGGGGACTGGAGGCAGAGGTGGGTCATGGGGCCATCCTCTGGGAAGGCTGGGACCACTCAGAGGGTCAGTTCAGGCCTCTCCAACCAGATGAACAGAGGCATCCTTAAGGTCAAGGTCAAGAGCCCTTTAGCTGGCTGGTTGGGCCCATGACAGGCCTTCAGTTCCAGAAGGGAGCTGAGAAAGGGGGTATATGGGAGAGGAGAAGACTTAACTCTGAATGCTTGAGTGCGCAGGTGTGTCTGGGGCTGAGAAAGCCTCGTGGACTCAATGGTGCCACATGGATGGGCAGGGCAGAGGGTCATACCTATCTGAGATCAGATTAGACAGTCTACCAGGCGTGCACACTCTTATAGATGGTAAGGCTTCTGAGGGAGGTATATATCGTGTTTGTGCATGGGCCTGTGACGGGTGCGAGGGTGAACGTCGCTATTGGTGGCACTGAATTTGGGGATGTGACTGAGGATGGCTAGGAGGTGGAGAGTGAGGCAGGAGTGAGATCTAGAGGCAATGAGAGACTCCAGGAGTGGCAAAGCTGCTGGACGGAGGAAGGGAGCAGGTGCTGGGCCTGGAGGGGGAACTTGTGTATCCCCTCCCCACCTCCATCCCTAGGCCCGCCCTTACCTGGTACTTGGCCAGCAGCTTGCTCCTCCAGTGGTCATGGGGGATGTCATGGAGGGAGAGGCGCAGGTTGTGGTAACTGTCCTTAAACAGCAGGGGTTTGGGCTCTTCCACCAGGTATCCGCCCAGCGTCCGCTCCAGCTCCAGCACCTCCTGTGGGCCAGGGGGAAAATCAGAAGGGAGAATCTGTCATACTTGGCCAATGGGCTGTTTTCTGCTGCAAGCTGTTGTGGGGGTGGAGGTGGCTGCCAGATGCATCAAAGGAAACCAGGCTGTAAAAGTGAGGACAGGGACCCACCTTAGCACAGTGTTGGGCATTTGGTAGGTGCTTATAGAAGGCTTGAAGTGTGGACAGATGGATACAGATGGACAGAAAAATAGATGGATGAATGGACAGATAACTGGACAGATGGATGGATAAATGGATTTATAGATGACTGCACAGATGAACTGATGGATGGATGGATGAATAGATGGATAGACAAATAGGAAGATAGATGGACATACAAATGGATGGAGATACAAATAGATGGAGAATGGAAGAAAAGAAAGATAAATGGATGGATGGATGATGGCTGGAGGGACAGATGGACTGTTGACTGAGTGTATGGATAGATGAATAGAAAGTTGATGGATGGATGGATAAACAGATGGATGGATAAGTGGCTGATTAGGGGCCGAATAAACAAAGATACCATCAAACCAAAATGTGGCAACCTCCCTCTTGTCCCTCACTTGATCTCCACTCCATTCTCTAGCCAAGTATAGACAATGGACAATGCACTGGTACCAAGAGATCCAGGCTGCAAGAGCATTTCCCAGGAGCCTCCAACCCACTGTGGGCCTCCTGGAATTTCAGGCCAGCTAGCTCCAGCAGGAGACACTCACTCTCCCACCGAGCCTTTTCACTCATGTTGCATTAGTCCACAATTGGGAGTATGAGACAAGTCACCTGAGACAGGGAGACAAAGAGCTGGAAGGGACCACAGGGCACCGGTGGTAGGTGGTACGGGGCTGTAGGAAAGCACCATGGGGCTTGGGGGCAGGGCGTGGATGGAAGGATGGAGAAAGAAAAAGGGTTTAAACAGGGCCAAGTATTTGTATTAAGTTAGGATGAGACTTGAGGTCCTGGGAGCTGGGCAGAGGGCTGGGGATGGAACGGACAGGTGGTTGAGGCTGCAGGTGCAGGGTGGGGTGGGAACACTGGGGTCCACACCCTGCCATCATCAGCCCTAGATGAAAAAATGGATCCCCTTCCCTTCCCTCCCTTCCTGCCATGGTCACCCTCACTTGGAGGCATCACTGGCCACCTCCACTGCATAAGCAGAAGGCTGGCTGTCAGCGGGCCCCTCCCCTTCCCCTTGCCCCTCCCATCAATCTCCGGTTCTGTCCATTCTACTGACCAGAGTCCAGCTCCTCTTCTCCTTATGGCTGCCACTGGCTACTGCCCAGCCCCAGCGCCAGCTTTCCAGCCCCAGCCCCAGCCCCAGGCCCAGCCCCAGCTTTCCAGCCCCAGCCCCAGCCGCAGGCCCAGCCCCAGCTTTCCAGCCCCAGCTTTCTAGCCCCAGCTCCAGCTTTCCAGCTGGCTCTGCACCTCTCATCTCTCCACCCACAGTGTAGCCACAGGAGGCTTTCTAAAGCGTACCTGTGAACTCATCTCTTCCAGTTCTATCTCCTTCCCAGTGAAGAGGTTCCAAATGCCTTGGCTTGGCCACGAGGCTCTTAGAAAGCTGCGCTCTGCCCGTCTCCAGCCCCATCCCTCGCCCCCACTTCTCCCACACACTGAACCACACACCTGCCTTTGCATAAGCTGCTAGGTCTGCCTGGACTCCCCTCACCCTTCTCTGCCTGGACTCCCACTAGCCCTTGGGGCTCAGGTCAAAGGTCAGCTCTGATGAAACCCACTTAAACTGCCCCCCACCACCAGGTGCTACAGGCCCCTCCCAGCTGATGCCCTCTCCCCCTCTGCACAGAAGCCCTTCGTTGGAGTACTTGGTGATCCCCTTGTCTGTCTCCCACCTCTAGCCTGAAGCAGGAGGGCAGGAGCGGTGCCCGATTCACCTCTCTACTTGAGGGACTGATGCCATTTCAATGCTTGAGGAATGAACAAGTGAATGAATGAGGCTGATGGTGGAAGAGTGACTAAAAAAGACCATGAGCCTGGGAACGGGGGGAAGCTAGAAGGAACCATGCAGCTAGCCGGCAGGGGTGCCTGGGTTGAACAGGCGCCTGTGGCCTGGCCCTACCTTCAGCGCTACAGGCGTGTCCTCCAGGCAGTAGACCCTGAGACTGTACTCGAGGGAGGTGCAGAGGGCAGGGGCGAAGATGGCCAGCTGGAGTCTCTTGACAGCCGAGCGGGAACAGGACTCGCCCGTGAACACATAGGTGCCCAGCTGGTCCAACAGGATGTGGCAGGACCTGGCCTCCAGCTGGCAGTAGCAGGGGGTGTTCAGGGTCTCCTCGTCCAGGGTTACTACCTCCTGCAGGGGAGAGTGGGGGTGAGTGGAGGGGTCACAGGCAAGGCCTAGAGGGGTCCAGGCAGGCTCACCATTCCCCCGGGGTCCTGGTGCTGCAGCAGGGAGGAAGGGGGGTTCTGTCTCCCAGGGCAGGTTCTGATAGCTGGGCCTGGCCTGCCTGGCAGAGGTGCCCACTCCCTAGTGGTGGCCCTCACCTCCCAGTGGCCCTGGTGGGCCTGGGTCTTAAGCTGGAAGATCCAGTCGCCGGCACTGACTTCAGCACAGTGGGGCACTGTGAGGATGACTGGGCGGCACAGCAGCAGGCCGGTGGGCCCGCAGGTCACCGCGGGGCTCAATACTGTCTGCGTCTCTTCTGAAAGCGGGCTGTAGGCGGGGCAGGAGGGAGGCAGTGAGGGGGCCAGCAGAACTCAGCAGGGGTGCTGGGCTCCTGCTGGGCCCCCAACTCTGCCCCAGGGTGCTGTGGGAGGAAGGGCAGGTCTGCTCCCAAATCCCCGAAGATCAAGGGGGGTGAGGAGAGGCAGAGAAAATGACATCGACCTTGAAGTTGTTTCCAGATTTCCGCTATTACACTACCACGCTCCCACAGCCAGAACTTTGTCTTTAAAGGCTCTGCACTTTCTGAATTCAGTTTTGACAGGTGTTGCTAAACTCCCCTCCGGAAAACTGTGCCAATTCACGCCCTCAGTGTGCTATGCGAGGGCTTGCGTTCCGATGCTCTTGCCTGTGCCAAGGCATTACCATTTGACAAAAATCTTTGCAAATTTGTGAGCAAAAACCCCCTGGTATCTCAGGGCTGTTTTAATTAGTATTCCTTTGACTTTCAATCAGGTTGGACTTTTTTTCATAACCTAGTAGGCCACTGTGTGTGCATCACTTGCTCATATCCTCTGCCCGCTTTTCTCCTGGGACGTTCAATATTTTCTTCTTGGTCTGTAAACCTCTTTATACAGTAAGGCTATCAGCCCTTTGACATATTTAGTTTTTTGATTTGTTCTGATTTTGCAAATTTTAAACGTGGACATACTACAGTCTCAATATTTTCCTTTGAGAACTATCTCTGGCCTTAGACTCAGGCTTAGAAGAGGAGGCCAAAACCTGTCGCCAATTTTGACTCATAGTGACCCTATAGGACAGAATAGAACGGCCCCATGGGGTTTCCAAGGAGCTGCTGATGGATTCGAACTGCCGACCTTTTGGTTAGCAGCTGTAGTGCTTAACCATTGTGCCACCAGGGCTCCAGAAGAGGAAAGGTAATATTAAGAGTCCAAGTGGGCAGGCCTGGGTGAGAGGTCACGGGAGAGGGCAGAGAAGGCTAAGCAGCTGGGAAGGAGAGGAAGAGGATGGGGGCAGCCCAGGGGCGGGGCCGGGGTTTCTCTACTCACAGGGTGTTTTCTGCCTTGTTGATCAGTAGGTACATCTCGTAGAACTTGCCCTGGGGAATGGCTCCATTGGGCACCAGCAGGCTGACCCCTAGGGGGAGAGGGAGGTCAGCAGGGAGGGCAGGAGGGAGCCCAGGAGCTTAGGAGAACAGGTGATGGGGGGTGGTGACTGGCCTCAGCTTGGGGCAGGGAGGGAAAGACATCTCCTGAACTCCAGGGGGTCACCAGCAGGGGTGGGAGGAGAGCGCCTGGGGCCTGGGTGCAGGGAGAGACCAGGCCTCTGACCACATTAGGTTTTTCCAGTAACACAGGGGCCTCTGACATTTCTACGGGATGTCATTTTAGTTGCCATCGAATTGCCACCACCTCATGCACAACGGAACGAAATGCTGCCTTGTCCTCACCATCCCCGTGATCAGCTGTGGATGGAACCATTGTGATCCACAGGGTTTTCATTGGCTGATTTTTGGAAATAGGTTGCCAGGCCTCTCTTCTTAGTCTGCCTTAGTCTGGAAGCTACTCTGGAACCTGTTTAGCATCACAGCAACATGCAAGCCTCCACTGAGAGATAGTGGGGGCTGTGCATGAGATGCACTGGCTGGGAATCGAAACTGTCCCCCTCATGGAAGGCGACAATCCTACCACTGAGCCACCACTGCCTAAGTTTTCTATGGGTTAGAGATGGGCAAAGTCCTGGAGTCTGATGGTCCCAGTGCCAGCTCCATCCCTAGCTTGGTGTGTGACGCTGAGAAACTGTAAAGTGCTGGCTTTGCCAACCCGAGATGCCCTTTCTGGCCGCTAGAACCTAGGACAATGCTCTGTAGGTGTGCTGAACTTCACACGAACTCCCACTTAACAGATGAAGAAACTGAGGCTTAGAGAGTGGCAGGCCCAAGGCTTCCCTGCCCGAGTAAGAGGCAGTGGCAGGCTGAATCCCGGTCTCCTAAGCGGACCTCTCTGTTTTATAGTTGCTTCTCCCCCAACCCCAGGCCTCATTTTACCCCCTCTGTGAGACAGGATAGGGGCACATGCTGAGGCCAGGCTGAGAGGCTGGCAGGCAGGGGCCCACCTGTGCCGGGGATGCTGAGCCTCCCACCCAGGCAGCCAAAGGTGCCGCTGACGCTGCTACCCGGGTCGCGGGGCAGGCCCAGGAGCTGCTGGGAGCCAAGGCTGGCGCTGTGCAGGTGCAGGAAGTGAGCGTCTCGGCTGAAATCTCCAGGGTAAGTGCCGGGTGGCAGGACCCCCAGCAGATCGGCCCCGTCTGACAGGCCTGGCCCAGAGCCAGTGGTGCCAGAGCTGTAGACCTTGATCTTGAGGCTGGGCAGGGGGTCCAGCAGGGGTGAGTTGGTCATGGGGATCTTGTCGGCTGAGTCCTGCAGGGCGTACACAGGCCCGCGGTAGATGCCGGCACTGGCTGTCAAGTCGGGGGGCACAGATGGGTGAAGAAGCTGCGGATTGTCTGCAGGGAGGGGGCTACAGTCAGACCCAGCCATGCTCCATTGACCCACCCTCTGCTCCGACTGGGGGCCCTCCTGTTGCAAAATCCCACCCACATGTCCAGCTGCCAAAGGCTCAGCTGCCACTTCCTACAGGAAGCCTTCAGAGATTCCTCCAGCCTGAGTTACTCCCTTCCTTTCCTCCGTTTCTCTAATCCATACTCTCACACAGTTATCTCCAGAACAAACTCTGCCCGGGAGGGAGTTTAGAGCCCCAGCTCTGGTCTGGTGGGCTGCCACACATCTCTGAGCACCCCCATTGCCACCCCAGGCATCCTCGGTGCTTACTGGGCCTCGCAGTCTTGAAGTTGACTGGGTGGAAACCGCCAGTAAGGGCGGCAGATGAGTCGGTGATGTCGGTGTCGAAGTCGCGGCAGCTTCGGCGGTACACCACTACCCCCACCACCATGAGGACCACCACGACCACGAAGATGGACACCACGAGGCCCGCGTACAGCGCCACATCCCCTGAGGCCTCTAGGACTGCAGGGACAGGAGAGGTACATGAGGGGCAAGTCTTGGGGGAGCTACTGAGTCCCAGAGGTCCCCAAGACCTTGAACAGAGCACTTAGCACAGACAAGAAGGTGCTGAATGGACAGAGCACTGACTGAGTTCTATCTGAGCCCCACCACGGCAGGATGGGTGACCTCAGCCAAGCCTTGCAACCACTCTGACCTTCAGTCTCTTTATCAATGAAATAGTCTCAAAACCCCTGCCCTGCTTCCCTCCCAGTGTGGCAACAAGAGGCAAACAAACAAACAACATGATTGGCTATATGATGCACCCCCATGTCACATTCTCAGATGTGCCTGCTCCCATGAGTTAGCTCCCTGATCCCTGCTGAGAGACAGAAATCTGTGGCTCAGAGTCCCAGGGGCCACATGGTTTGTCCTGTCAGAGCTGGATTTAAACCTACAGAGCCTCATTCCTAGCCTTACAGCAATTTCCATAGGACCAAAATTCCTGGCTACCAGAAATCTTTGCCAGTAGCCATTCTGAGCTCTTCTTCCGTTCTATGCTCTAGGGTGGGAGATGGAGGTGGAGGGGCAGCAGGGAGAGTGGAATGAGATGCACAGCAATGGAAGCAGAGAGAAGGTGAGTGGGTGGGGGGAAGAATGGGGCCTGGAGGCAACCCTGGCTACACTTTCCTCCCCAGGCAGGCTGCTGGCTGGAGGGCACCCAGCTCAGGGTGGGGCAGGGCAGGCTGCTGCACAGTTGGGCATAACTGCTGATAGCCAGGCAGGAAGGTGCCAGGGTCAGAAAGGCAGGGTCTAGGTGGCTGTCCAATTCTATAATGATGGAAAAATTCTATATCTGTGCCAGCGACTACGACAACCACTACCACACGTGACTGTTGAGCAACTGGAATGTGGCTGCTGCAACTGAGGAGCTGAAGTTTTAAGTTTATTTAATTTTAAATAATTTAAATATAAATTTAAATAGCCATACAGAGCTAGTGGCTACTACATGGGACGGCTTTCATAGAGCCAAGATGGCAGCCACCAAGATGGCTGCTCTTCCCTCCTGCTGCTTCTGGGAGCTCCAGGAAGCATCTGTCCACTCTCTCCCTTCCCTGGGAGCCCTTGGAGAGACAGGCTGCCTTCCCTTCCTGGATTCCTCCAAGCTTCCATCCCCTGTGGTCAGCTGAAGCCTCACGACAAGGCCTGGGCATGGCTTTCTACCACCTGCCTGGCCTCCTCCGGCTCTCTTGAGCTCTGCCTCCTGATCTCCTCTCTACCACTGGGGCCACTTGCCGGATGATTTACAATCTCTAATTAGCCACCGGCCTGGCCCCCTCAGTGAGCTGGGCTGAGGGCTTCACTGCTGATTTGATGATTACAGAATTATTTGGAAACTGTGGTTTAATTACCACAGACCAATCAGCCGATGGTGGCTTTATTGCTCTGGCGTTACTCGGGGCCTGGAGGCTGAGCCCCTTGGGGCGATGCAGGGCAGCGGGCACTCGAGAACTTGGGAGGGCTCTGCCTCAGCTGCCGAGGTCCAGGAAAGGGCACTGGGGGTGGACAGTTATGGGGCTGACCCCAGCCCTGTCCCAGACAGGAACGCCAAGGGGACAGGGTTCAAAGCACCAGCTTTGGCCACAAAAATATTTTGAGTTCAGATCCTGGCTCTGCTACTTCCTAGGTGGGTGCTGGGGTAAATCCCTTGACCTCTCTGAGACTCAGTTTCCCCTCCTGTAAGGGGAGGGTCAGGATGATGCCCAAGGGCCTGCCAGTCAGACGTGGGTACAAGTAGCATCGGGTGGTGGGGACCCCACGGGGGGTGGTTGCTAACGGATGCCCTTCACTCTCCCTGCCCCTTGTCCTGCCCTATGCCCCACACCCTGGAAACTCCAGCCAAGGAGAGCCAGGGATCCCATAGAGAAAAGAGAACAGCCATGAAATGAGACTTACGGTGGCTTTTGGGGTCGCTTAGAGTTTTCTTATCTGTCGGGGGAAATAAAGGGAAAGACAATGACACAGGTGACAGGGTGGCAGAGCAGGTGATGGGGAAATGGTGCAGATGAGATGATGGATGTGGTGGGTAGGCAGAGGCCCCGACCCACTGTAGGCTGGGCACCGAGGTGGGCTGGGGGGTTCCTTACCAAGCTCTAGACCCCCGGGGCCCACCCTCCCGGGGACTCACTTTGCATGCACAGCCCGTCAGTGCAGTTCTTGGAGTCCAGCAGCGTCCCGCTACAGTCGCGGCCTCCGTTCTGGGGCGGGGGCGCCATGCACTCACGGCTGCGCCAGTGGGCACACTCGGTGCTGCAGGCCGACCACTTGCTCCATTCGGTCCACGCCCCGTCAACTGTACGAGCCACGGCAGAGCACACAGGGACACATGCGTCACACAAACACGTGTACACGCCAAGGTGTGCATGCAGAAGGCAGCGATGCACCAACACACACACACATACACACACACACCATGGACACATACAGAGAAATCAATGGCATGGCCATGCAACCCCATGCCAACGAACACACACACCAGGGGGGCAGAGAGCACAGACAGACACAGATGATCGCACACCAGACAGTCCAGTGCACGATTGCACACACAAAGACATAATCCAGCATAGAAAAACACCACACCATTCACACAAACACATAGCCAAAGGGAAAGGACCACAGCCAGGTGGCCAAGGACAGACAAACAGATGGGACACAGAGCGAGACGAAGACAAAAAGGGACGAGAATGTTTCAGCACTGCGGCCCACGGGCAAGGTGTCTTCACAGTTCTCTGCAGGAGCACTGGCTCTCCCTGGCCCTGGGCAGCTATGGGACCCTGGCCTGGGGGGGCTGCCACTGAGGAGACCAGGCCTGGAGGGCAGGAGAGCCCAGGCTAGGAGGTTGGAGAGAAGAGTCTGCCCCTCAGGGCCTCTACCTCCATTTTGCCAGCTGCCCAGGGCAGGGCCTGAGTTGGGGCCAGGACTGAACAAAAGGTCAGAGGTCATAGCAGCTGGTCCAGACTGGCCAGCCAGCTGGAGGCTCCTGGATGATGGGGAGAGAATGGCCGCGCTGACTCTGTCTGACACCAGGGAAGGTGGGAATGGGGTTGGAGTGGGGCTGGGCACGGCAGGTGCCACCTGGCCAGCCACCCTTACCTGGGCACACTGTGGTGCAGGCGGTCTTCTGGAAGCCCTGGCCCTCGCAGAAGGCTCCTCCATTGAGTGGGGCGGGGTTGGTGCAGGTCCGCGTGCGCTTCTGCCAGCCGCGACCACAGCGATTGGAGCAGGGTGACCACTCCGCCCAGCTGGACCACCCGCCATTCACTGCAGGGGCAGAAGGCAGCCGTTACCCAGCAGGCCTGGCTCTGGAACCCTCTTGCCCCCCATCTCCACCCTCTCTCCTGATGAGGCCCTCCCTCTCAGGCCTGGCAGTGCCTGGTTAGAACCCTCCACCTGCAGGGCTCACACACCAGAGAGCAGACCTGGGAGGTCATTGACTATTCCCATCCCCACTGTACAATGGCAAATGGAGGCTCAGGGAGGGTCTGACATGTACCCAGGGACACCTTGTGACTTATAGGGGGCCTGGGACTATAACAGTTCAAAGTCATCTCAGCTGTGGCTCTGCCCCTCTGCCCATGGGGCCCAAGGGGACAGCAGGGAACAGCTTACAGGCCGGGGCAGCTGTCCCTAACTCTGCTAGGACAATAGGTGGGTATGGGGGACATTGACTGGGCCCTGCCCCAACCCCCTGACTCTAAGAGAATGAGGTTTTTCCTTCAGAGACAGGCAAGGGGCCTAGAGAAGGGGGCAGTGCTCCTGGCTGGGGGCCCAGGAGGGCCTGGCTTGACCACTAATTTTGCTGTGTAACCTTGGTCAAGTCACCTCCCCTCTCTCGGCCTCACCTTCCCCACGTGTTCCCTAGGTGGCCAGGTGCTGCGCCTCCCCGGGCGGGGCAGGGCAGGGCCTGGTGAGGTGTACAGCCCCAGGACCCTCTCTTCCCCCTGGGCCTGTGCCCACATATCCCAAGCCTCCCTCACCATAGACAATGACAGTGGCGGTGGTGCTCCGGCGCTTGGCCACGATGTTCTTGGCCACACAGGTGTAGTTAGCTGTATCTGACAGGCGAGCCTGGCGGATGATGAGGTTGTGGTCAATGGTGAGCAGGAAGTTGGTGTCCTGGGTGGGGTCGATGATGTCCTCGTTCTTGAGCCATTCCACCTGCAGGAGTGGGGTTGGGGGGGACACGGTGAGGGCCCAGTGCCTGCTCACCTGGAAATGGGGGAGTGGGCCCACTACGGAGGGGAGGGGACAGGTGTGACCTAAACAGAGGAACTGCAGTTCTAGCCACATCCACCCAGAGTGACGCCATGAGGCAGGACCTTCGCAGAGGGGGGCACAGCGCCCATCATTGTACAGAGCACAGAGGTCACGTGTAGCATTCGTTAACCAGCTGTGCCGTTTGGGGAAGTAACTTAACGGCTCAGAGCCTCAATTTCCTCCACTGTAAAATGGGAATTGTAGGCCATGTACCCTGTAGGGCTGTTGGGAGGACCGAAAGAGTCAGTGTGTGGGAAGTGCTGAGAACGGTGCCTGGCTCGTGGTCAGTACTACATGTGTATAAGCTAGTGGTGCATGCCTTTCTCATTAACTTTGCAACCAGCTCCGTCAGGCAAGGTGAGAGGCTTGGCATGGTGATTAAGAACATGATCCCTGGGTCTGGCAGACCTGAGTTCAAATCCCAGCTCTGCCATTTACTAGCTGGGTTGCCCTGAGCGGCCATGTCAGCTCGCCCAGCGCTGTTTTCCCATCCACCCTGCAGGGCCGCTGTGGGTCAAATGCCCAGCACGTGTGGGAGCCCAGAGAGAGGTAGTGATTACACAGGGTGTTTGTCGGAGCCCATTTTCCAGATGAGGGCATGGGCTGCGGGATGCTAAGTGAGCAGTGTAAGGTTTCAGGGTCAGACAAGGCAGCCCCCAAGCTGAAGCCCAGGGTTCCCCCCAACACCTATTCCATAGGTTTCCCAATGCCCTGCTCTAATTCCTGGCCCTCAGTGCAGGGGCATGAGTGGGAGAGGGCGCATGTCTGCAACATGAGTGGAGGAGAGGGGTGGGCGGGTACCCAAAGGCCAAGTGGTGGGGGGAGGGGAGGGAAGGGGTCAGCTCAGGTGGTGGGGCAGGAGAACACGCTTGGACACACATTAGGAGCTCCTCCGGTTTCCATGAAGCTGAGGCCTAGAGTTCTGGGTGGGGCAGGTGGAGACAGTGTGCACAGCCCATGAGCATGTCCCTTGCAGGACAGTGAATATGGGCTCGCTGAGGAGTCCCAGGGCTTCCCACCCCAGCTCTGTCTGTCACAGCCAGGACCTGACATGTGCTGGGTTCTGCAGAGGTGGCAGTTTCCTTCCCTGTCTCAAGCCTTGATCTCCCCGTCTGTGAAATGGGGAGGGCTCTGGGAGGCTGTGGCATTGTGGCTGGTGGAAATACCAGGCCTGACTGGCCTCCTCCATGCCCAGTGGTCCCCACACCCCACTCACCTCAGCCACAGGCACCCCTTCTGGAGGGCGGCATTGCAGGAGAACCTCGTGGTCCAGGGGCACCTCCTTGCCCAGAGGCTCCTGATCGAAGTTCTTCCGCAGGTCTGGGAGAGGGGAGAGGGTCCCGAGGCAGTCAGCCAGGCAGTGGGAGCCTGAAGTGCCCTTCTCTAGCCACTAGGTGGCAGTGCGCACCTAGCAAATTGTTCGTGGGGACACCTGGTCTTTATCTAGGGGATTTTCCTTTTCTAAAGGAGGGGCTTCACCAGGTAGAGTCAGGAGAACAAGGTTCCCTCCCTGACATAGTGGCCCAGGATGGGCGAGGGAACTGGCAGCTTCTTTCAACACAAGTAGGTGAGTGAGGGCGGCTTAGAAATCCGGGAGCCAGGGTCTAGGAGCCACCTTCTGACCTAGCATCATGAGCCTAGATGTCTCTGTGGGGAGTCATCTTCAGCCAGGGATGCCCATGGAGGCTCCCACAGATGTGGAATCCCTTCTCCAGGCTCCAAGGGAATGGGGGGACCGACTCGGGGAAGGCATCAGGGGGCATACAGGCAATGCGGACGTAGGCCCGGCGACTCTTGGTGGTGCCTGCAGAGCTCCAGGCCACGCACTGGCACCAGTAATCCTCCAGCCCAAACAGCTCCTCCACCTGCTGCCGTGACACCTCGATCTGCACCTCTTGCACCCGCAGGCCTGGAAGGAGAAGAGAGACGCCGTCAGGGGCAGGTCTGAGCATGCATGGCACAGGGCACGGGCCTGGACCGCTCTCTTCCTCCACCCCTAAGACCTGCTGGCCCTGCTGCCAAAGTTTCTCTCATCTCCACTGCTTCCACCTGGCCCAGGTGCCATCTCCATTCACCTGGGCATTGCAATGGCTTTCTAATGCAAACACCCTGGCCCCTCCAATCCATTTTCTGCCCTGTAGCTAGCGTGCACTTTTCAAAACTCACACGTGGCATGTCATCCCCCAGTGCTCTCAGCATAGAGATCCAGACCCTCCACAGGCCCGTGTGATTCAGTTCCCAAGCAGCTGGCATGCTGCACCCCATTCCTGACCTCCTGTGGCCTCACTGGCCGTCTCCCCGTCCCCCACACTTGCTGGGCCCCTCTAGTCACACGCAGTCCCCTGCCACACCTGGAACTCTCTTCAGTCCCCTCTTTGCCCAGTGAACTCTGGGTCACCCCTCAGCTCTCAGCTGGGCCCCATTTCCTGCAGGAAGCCCCTCCTGACCCTGCACTACCCCATCTCCAAGCACCACTCAGCACTTCATGGCTGCCCGTCTGCAATTATACTTCAACGTTGCAGCTATCCTTCCCTTAGCCAGCTTGATTTCCTCACAGCACTGACCATTATTGGGATGATATTATTTATTTATGTGTTAATGTGTTAATTGTCTAGCTCCTGAAGGAGAATGAGATGAGGCTTCATCCTGTTCATTGCAGTGACCCAGCGCCTGGCGTAGAAAAGGGACTCAACAGATATCTGAAGAGAGTGCAGCACAGGGATGAGGCCAGCCTCTCCCAGCCTACGGGGCCTCCCTGGATAACCAGATCTGCTAGCTTACACAGAGTGGGTCACTCACTCCCTTCCCTAACCCTCTGCCTCCACAAAGTCCTCTCTGCTCAGGAAAGAGTGAGCCCTCCTGGATTCGGGCACCCATTCCAAGCTCTTTGCCAAAGCTTATGGGAAGACTTTGAGGCCTCCTCCTCCTGGAAGCCCTCTCTGACTGCCAGGCTCGCTTGTCTCAGAATTACTAAAGTTGCTCCTCCTTGCCAGCAGTTGTCCCATCTCATCCTCTCACAGTTGCACATGGATTCTGTTAAGCCCCTTGAGGGTAGGACTGTGGATTGCACACGATGTAGTACTGTGGCATGGTGGTTGAGAGTAGGGCTGAACGGCTGGACAAGTTTGAATCCTGGCACCATCCTACTCCCCTTTGCTAAGTTACTCAACCTCTCTGGGCCTCAGTGCCCTCATCATACTAACACACTTGGGATAAACTCTAAGTAAGTCATGGTGATTAGTCTGCCACCGCACCCAGCCCAGGCCGGACACGAAACTACTCTGGCAGGTCATTTGGATCTCATCCAACCCTTTCCTTTTACATTTGGAGAAACTGAGGCCCAGAGAGGGCAGGTGACAGGCCCAAAGTCCCACAGCAAGTTGCCAGCAGAGCTGAGATCAGCTCTCCGGTGTCTTCCTGGGTTAGTGCTCTGTCCCCTCAACCATGAGGCCTGTCTGGGCCTCTCTCAATGAAGTTATTGCCTCAGTTCTCCTGCATCGTGGGGGAGGGGCCCTTTCACTGCACACCCAGACAATGAGGAGAACCCGATCCTGATGGCCAGGGATCTAAATGGTTGACACTGAGGAGCACTAAGAGGAAAGGAGCTGCTTCTGGGATGTGCCCATGGAGGGGCGATGCTGCCATAGCCGGGGCAGGCCAGCTGTGCCTTACTTCCAGGCTGTGGGCCTGGAAAAGCGGTTCTTTCAAGTGGCTCATCCATCCAAGGTGGTTTCAGCAGCACCTAATCAGTTGGATGGGGGAAGGCCATCACCTAGAGAAGCCTGCCAGCTTGTTAATGGTCACCAGCAGCAAGGAGCTGCAGAGAGGATAAGGATGGAAGCCTTTGGGCTCCCACACCCGTGCCAGCCTGCTGGCTGAGTGGCAGGGGGTACCTGGGCCAGGACACCCGAGGTAGGGGTTCCAGACCTGGTATGAGCTGGTTTGTGGGGTCCATCCTGCCCCTCCTGGACCCCCTGCTGTTTGTTCATGCTCTGTTTTCAGGGCCTCAGAGAGTGCCAGGGAGGCCTGGGGGTGGAGTAGGACCAGTCTGGCCCACTGCTGACAAGGGAGTGGCCTGCAGGGCCATTGTTCACAATTTGCAGCTAATGGGGACAACAGTGCCCCAATTTCTCGGGCTGGCAGGGCCTGTGTGCCTGGTGACAGAGGGGTAAGAGCCATGCTGTTACCATTGCCAATAATCGCAGGGTCACGAGGGACCCCAGCAGCGCACACTGTACCCTCACTGCCTGCACACCTGGCTGAGACCAAGAAAAATCCAGAAAAACGCTGGAGGAAGCAGGCATTTATCGAGTACCTGCTGGGTCCCAGTCCTGTGCTTATGGCACTCAGAGAGGTCGAGTGACTTCCCCAAGGTGACACATACAGAGAGAGGGGGGAGCTGGGGTTTAGTTTCAAGGCTGGGTAGCTTTGAAATCTGTGAGTTTTTCACAGCAAAACAGAGAGAAGGAAAAATTGAAGGAGGGAGAAAGAGAGTGTGTATACGAGGAAGGGAGAGAGAGGGAGAGAAAGGAGAGAGGAGAGAATGACAGTGTGAGAGAGACAGGAAGAGAGAAACACATGGGGAAGAGATAGAGAGAGAGAGAGACAGGGATTAGAAGGAAGAGGCCGGAGAGAGACAGGAGGAAGGAAGGGAGGGCTGGAAAAGAAGGAAAGAGAAAATGAACAGTAAGGGGATAAAGTGAAGAGATGGTAAAAATAACACAGCACAAAAAAGAAGGAAGGCTGCTGAGGTGCAGGAGCCCTGGGGGTCACCTGGGGCTCTCCTTCTGCTGGCCCCATCAAATGACAAGGAGCAGGTGGCCCCACCTCCTGTCCTAAGCCCTGGAAAAGGCTTTTTTGCCTCTGGGGGTTCCTGCCCTCTAAACAGGGCCTGGTGGCAGGTGAGCCCCCAACTTAGACTAAGGTCACCACGGGACAGGCCCTCCCCCCTCAGCCTTCCAGAATGTGCGGGCACTCAGGGCTCCACACACATCTCAGAAGAAAGGGTCTTATACCCTGTTATGGGTTGAATTGTGTCCCCCCAACATATGAGTTGTAAATCCTAACCTCTATGTCTGTGGGGAGCCCTGGTGGCACAGTGGTTAAAAGCTACGGCTGCTAACCAAAAGGCTGGCAGTTCAAATCCATCAGCCGCTCCTTGGAAACCCTATGGGGCAGTTCTACTCTGTCCTGAAGCATTGCTATAAGTCAGAATTGACTCGAGGGCAGTGGGTTTGGTTTTTTGGTTTATGTCTGTGGTTACAATCCCATTTGGGAATGGGTGTCTTTGTTATGTTAATGAGACGGGATTAGCGTAGAGTTTATCTTGAGTTAATCTCTTTTGAGATATAAAAGAGATTAAACAAGCAAGCAGAGCAGAGATGGGGAAAGAGATGCCAAGCCACATGAAGATCGCCCAGGAGCAGAAGCTCAGAAGAGACCAGGACCTTCCCCCAGAGCTGACAGAGAAAGAAAGCCTTCCTCTAGAGTTGGCACCCTGAATCAGGACCTGTGGCCTCCTAAACTGTGAGAAAATAAATTTCTGTTTGTTCAAGCCATCCACTTGTGGTATTTCTGTTATAGCTCCACTAGGTAACTAAGACAAGCCCCCATCCTGTTTCCCAAGTTCCAGTCTCTATCCGCTCTCCCTCAGGATTTGAGCTATATCTCAGCACCACCTGTACCAGCACTTACTCAATATTATTTATCTGTTTTGTTTTTTTTTTAACCTAAAACTATTTTTATAAAGGAAATGTCATATCACTATTGTGAATGGAAAACAGTTTCACTTTCCACAAACAGAAGGGAACTATAAAAATAACAATAGCACTGAATTCTGGTTAGGGGACACCAGGTGCCATTGGGCGCCTGGGCAGTGAGGCAGAGGCCTGTTACTCTTTGTTAAACAGGGAGATGAGCAGGTATTGAGAGGGTTAAAGAATCCTAGGACCGGACTGTAAGCAGAGGGATTGAAAGAAAGTGGAAAAGGGAACGATCACTCAGCAAAGGATTCTGTGTTCTTTACTGCAGTGCCACATGGTCACCTAGAGTCAGGCTGGAAATACTGATCCAGGGCAAACCCCAGAGGGGAAACTGAGGCCAGAGGGGCACCATGGCTGTGGGAAGTCACACATGGACCCTGTGGCCTAGGACCCGGTGTCCCCTCTGCCCCCCCTCCTGGATCTGGGGCACAGAGTGCCAGGAGTCTAGGTGCCTGGTTGAGTGGGTGGGCTCACCAGTGGCCTCATCCAGGCCTTCCTGCATGACGTGGTCGTTCTGGCTGACCCACTCGCCATTGCACTTGAAGTAGATCTGTGTGGCTGGGAAGGCGCGGCAGCGCAGCTCCACGGGCTTGTTCTTCACAATGTAGGCATCCTGTGGCTCCTGAAGGAAGTGGGGCAGTGGCTCGGCCGGCACCGACGGGAAGGACTCTGGGAGCACCTCGCTGCCAGAATCAGCACCTGCGGGAGATAAGGGCTCTGTGAGGGCCGGCAGGGGGCCCACTGCAGAGGGGGTGCAGGGGGTGCAGGGCAGGCCTGCAGTGATGTTCTCTGCAACCTGGTGAGGCCTGGCACTCCCAGGCTTCAGCCCTCCTCCTGCCCCGCATTTAAGAGGCTGGGAGAGGGCTTGAGGAGCTAGTCCCAGCTCTATGATGCCATGAGTTTCTATTTCTTCACAGATGGAAATGTTAGGTCAGCCCAGAGAGGTGAGGCCATTTATCAGAGCAAGGACACCACCCCCCTTGGTCCTCCCCAAAGTCCCCTGTCCTGGTCCTGCCTGCCCCTGCCCGGACTTGCTCTAGTTTCCCACGGTGATGCCGAGGTGTGTGGTGGGCTAGAAACTGGGCTGAGGACAGAATTCAAACCAGGCCAGCTCTGCCCCGAAGCCGCCACGGCTGCCCTTTGCAGCCCCAGCCAGCCAGGCGGACAGACAGGGTGCCTCTTCCCACCTTAGCCAAATCCACACCCTCCGCACCAGACGTGAGGAAACTTCACAGGCTGGGAACACAGGGAGGCTCCGCCCTGAGGCCATCCCCTCCCCCTCCCCCCTGTTAAAAATAATCAAAACCCAAAAAAATGAATACATAGGGTTTATTTTTGAGCAGTTAATCTGTAAGCATGCAGGGAGATCATTTTGTTTCTAAAAACAAGTGGCTCACAGTAAGCTAGTTACAATTGTTAAAAAATAAACCTCTGAATTAGCTCAAAACAATAACACAATATTTGATTGCTCTAGGATTTGCAAATTAGGGGAATGTGCGACCCCCTGCAAGAAGGAAAAAATAAAATGCTTCTGACGACTGAAAATTTTACACAAACTTAAACTGGATAGTGGAGTCCCCAGGTGGCGCAAATGGCTAAGCAATGGACTACTAGCTGAAAGGCTGGTGGTTCAAACCCACCCAGAGCTCCTCAGAAGGCAATCCTGGTGATCTGCTTCTGAAAGGTCACAACCAAAAAAATCCTATGGAGCACTTCTACTCTGCACGCAGGGGGTCGCCATGAGTTGAAATCTACTTAATGGCAACTAATAACAACAACAAATACAGTATTTAAGTTTCCATGGTGACAAAGTACTCAAAGGTTATCGAGTTAGCATTAAAAAAGTATCTCTGGAAAATTTGGCCTTTTACATATTTATACCTATAAGACCTCTAGAAATAAAAATTAAAGAAGTACAAAGTCTTTTTCATTAAATCACGAGGTAACGAGTTTGTTATTGACTACCCTTTCTGAACCGGAAAAGGCAAATTGACAATGCTGTTAAGTAGTTAGCATTTCCTGGTAAAAAAAAACAGGTCAATAGTTTTGCAGTTTGGGTCAGGCTTTTCCTCTTAATTTTGAGCTTCTGGGACACAGAAATCCTTTGAAATCACAGTAAGATGTCTGTTTTCAAATTTTTGACACCCCATCAGGGGGTCAAATGGAAACCAGGGTCTGCATGCCTCCCTGGAAAGAACACCCCTGAGGAGGTGAGACAAACAGGAAGGGAGAGGGTCAGCCCCATCAGTGCCAACGGGAGGGAAACCAGGCCAGGCCAGGCTGCACAATCCACTTAGGAAAACTGACCTTCCAAAGCCAAACTATTGGGCAGCCAGGGACAAACGGTGGGGGGTTCACCCTCCTCTGCTAACTGCGCCAGAGGAAAGCAGGAATTAAGCTGCGGGGGTGAGGATGCTGGCCCAGCCCTTCCCGCCCGCCTCGGCCCTGTCACCGCCTCCTATCACCACCTCCATGCCCCAGAACCTCAAGCAACGCTGGCGTCCCAGGAGTCCTACGTGGCAGCTGGGATCTTGCACTATTCCCCTGGTCAGGAGCCACAGTGGGGCACGCTTGGCCCTTGGAAGTGTCCCTATGGGCAGAGGGGCCAAGAGAGCTCAGTTTTCCAAGAGCAGAATGAACAAACATGTCTAATATGCCTGAGTTGCATACCAGGTTTTCTCTTTGCTGACCAGGAGCCCCTGCTGAGACTTGGATGCTGGGAGTACTGAGACCAAGCCTGGTCCTCACCAGCCCTGGGCTCCGGGTGGTGGAGAGCCACTTGGGGAAGCCAAGGGAAAGCCAGCAAGATGGGGTGTGGATCCAGCTCCATCCTGCACAGCTGTGGGACCCTTAACTCTGAGAGCCCTTTTCTCCAAGCCTAGAAGCTTCTCCTTGGAAGAAGGCAGGAAGTAGCCACTTTTCCCCTCTCTCTGACCCTTTTCGAGGACTGTGTGAGATAAACATGCAGGGGTCTCTAGAATAGAGCCAGGCGCATCGTAGGTACATTTTGCTGCATCAAAATAAAACAACCAATGCTTATCTAAAATTAGGTGTTGTGTTCTCAATACTTAGTTAACTTACCTAATTCTTGCAACAATCCTATAAAATATATTACTGCCCTCATTTTATAGATAGGGACACTGAGGCTCAGAGAGGTTAAGCAACTTGCCCAAGGTCACACACTTAGCAAGAGGCCAAGCCAAGATTTGAACCCAAGGAATAGAGTTCAGAGTTTGGGATGTTGCCCAGGACTCCACACAAGTAGCCTGTCACAAGTCGCTCCATGATATTCTGGGTGTTCCCACACCTGAGAATCTTAATAGCACATGATCCTGGCTGTGACTCCAGTTTACAGGGGCTTTCTCATCAGAGGGCCAGCAGGGCTGGACTGACCTTCTCGTTTCAAAGCTGAAGACCAACCAGTTAGGGCAAGTGACTTGTCCAAGGCCACCTGGTGATTGGGCAGCCAAGTCTGGAAGAGCACTGAGGATTCCTGAGGTCAGGCTGGGGCTCCCCACATCCCCTGCCCTGCCAGTCAGGGAGACACGTTCTCTGTAGCCAAACATGTAGACATGTTCTCAGCAGGCCCCTAGCGTCTAGGAGCTTGGGGAGTTGGTGAGGACTTGATCCCAACCCAGAGAGTTGGGCATTGGTCTACCAGTGGCCTGAGAGCTGGTCACTGTGCCCACTATGAGATGGCACTGTAGCCTCTTCGCCACACCGGGCAACTCTGGGGACAGAAAGGTGGGGCCTGGAGGGCAACTGGGCAGCAGAAGGCTGGCCAAGTTCCATGCCTACCTCCTCACCACTCGTATCTTCTCCGTCTCAGCCCAGAGGGCGGTAAGGCCGAGATCCAGCTCTAGACTCAGACACCCTCCGGCACTGGCCTCAGGCACCTCATCTGTGAAACGGAGGGAAAGGTCTTCCTGCTGGGGGTGGTGTCTCTGAGAGGAGGTGCGCAGGCGCTCCAGGTACAAGACGCATGCGCCCTCTGACCTTCTAGCCGCGCTACCCTCACCCCCCAGGTGAAGGTGCCCTGACTCTGCGGCAGTGGCGGCTGTATTTATGACTGTTTTATAACCCTAATGTGGCTCATTTATGGAACAGGCGCAGACGCGACGGAGGAAAGCAAACATTAGACATCCATTAGTGCAGCAGGGCTTGCTTCTGGTAGCCCCGCAGCTCCGCCCTCGCGCCCCGCCCCTCTTCTCCGCAGGCCTGGGCAGGAACGTGCCCGCGGCCCGTTCGGGGCCTCTCCGTCGGGGCTGGCCTGGTTGGCTCGATGTCGCTGTTGCCCCTTTGCCAGCGTCCCCACACCCCCGGCATTCTGGATGCAGAGACTACCAGGAGACGAGGAAGAATTGAAGGCAGACCTGAGACCCCTCCCTGGAGGGGCCACGGGGCGGACTTCAGCTGGCTGGCATGCAGTAGGTGCTCAATAAATGGGAATTAAATCAGTGTGTGGGGGTGCCAGGGAGTGTGCAGCAGCTGAGTTGGGCCCCCTACCCTAGCCACTTGGACACTCCCCAGCTTCTCCTCGGCCCTGGTTTAGGCCCTGTGGTGGAAGGAGGCTCGACAGGTGTCCCTGGATACGGTCAGCTAAGCCAGGCCCTGTGGGCGCCAGCTTGGAGAGAGAAGAATGACGGAGTCCCAGGGTTCCTGGTGTTAACTCTGGCAGGCACCATTCAGGGGCGTTTTATGCTAACTCATGCAACTCCACAATTGTTTGAGACAGAGGTTCCCACACGTTTCTGGTCCTTTGTGTCTTAGTGAAGGGGCCCTGGTGGACGATGGTTAAGGTGCTCAGCAGCTAACCAAGAGGTCGCAGGTTTGAACCTACCAGCAGCTCCGCAGGAGAAAAGATGTGGCAATCTGCTCCCATAAAGATTACAGCCTAGGAAACCCTGTGGGGCAGTTCTACTGTAGGGTCGCTATGAGTTTGAATGGACTTGATGGCACATAACAACAGTGTCTCAGTAATTTTTTCACGGTGCCCCAGGGCCAAAACAAATACCTAATGGTTCTGTTTATTAAGTAGTTACGTCTAAACGACTTAGTGGGTGTTTATATCCTAACAACCTACTGACCAAAAAAGTCCAAAGCCACTGCCGTTGAGTCGATTGCAACTCATAGTGACCAGCCATTTGAAAAAAGTAAATATGTGTTAAAAGAAAAAACATTGTAATCTCATTCCTAAATGACCATAATTACTTACTAATGGGATATGTGTACCTGTTGGGCACTGCTCCACATTGTTTCATGGTACGTGTAAATGCCAAAAACTCAGCTTTGCAAAGACATGCGTCATCTAAAGAAAATAGCACAAAGTAATGTTGAAACTGAGCTATCTTGAGCTAGTAGTTTGTGTGTTATCTGAGTGCCGTCCAGTATTGCTGCATTTCCCTTGAAAATAAAAAATATCTCGCAGCACCTGTATAAATTTGCTGCAACATGCTGGGGTGCCTTGGCACACAGTTTGGGAACCACAGCCCTATGAGTTGGGTACTATTATTGTTCTTATTCTACAAATGAGGAAACCGAGACAGAGAGAGGTAAAGTAGTTTGCACAGGGCTATAAAACTAGTAAGTAGCAGAGCTAGGGAGCAAATCCAGGTAGTCTGATACCTGAATCTGCCTTCTGAACTCTCTGCTAAGCTGGGAAATGGCACTTATATGTCCACTGTGTGCCAGGTGCTTCA